GCGTCAACTGAAGAAGATGAGTGGAGACTTGCTTTTATATGCACAGTGATCCAAGAGTATTTCACGTTGAGAAGTGTGTACCAAAAGGTCTGAGCCCTTTTTGTCTTCACATCAAGTGACCTTTCCTAGAAGAATAAAGCACAGAGAAATCCTTTTTATCTGTGTTCTTGTGTCTAGCATAAATAAGGAAAGAGTCGTTTGGATATTCCAACGGACATAATTTGTGAATTCTTCTTCAACAATTTTCAGCAAGAGTCTAATTTGATCAGAGCCTTCTGATGTTGATCAGAGTTTTGCTGAATCAGAGTATTTGCAGCAAGTGTGCTTTTAGCGTGTATAAGTTCAGAGCAGAGTTTTGAGTCAGATCCTCAGTACTGGTAGTGTTAGTACTATCAGAGTCTTCTGAAGTAACTATGCTTGAAAACTCTTCATACAAAATTCTTCATTGGTTCAGATGCTTCTGACTTGCTTCAGATTCTTCTGGAGCTTTTGCTTCATATCCTTCTGGAGCTTCTGCTTCAGATCCTTCTGGAGGCAACGCTCAGAATCTTCTAATGGCAGCGTTCAGAATCTTCTAATGACAGTGTTCAGAATCTTCTAAGGAATGCTTTTGATGCTTCAGAGCCTTGCATATTTCTTATGTTCAGATCTGATTTGCTTCTGGAGTGATATTTACTTTAATATCTGCAGCAAACATTCTTAAGCAAATTTTAGAGTCTATAATTCTTAATTACAAAATTTCATAATAGTTATCGTCAAAACATAGAGATATTATTAAGAACCAATCTGTGTTCTAACACATACGTGATCAAGTCTTACAAAATGAAGTCACTGTGGCTTATGTTCCTACTGCTGACCAGATTGTTGATTGCTTGACCAAACCTCTCACTCACACAAGATTCAACATGTTGAGAGACAAACTTGGAGTGATTGTGTCATCGCCAGTTTGAGGAGGGGAGTTAGAGAAAAGTCACAATCTCATAATTAATTATTAAGGATCATAACTTAATTTCTATGATATGGTGATCCTTAATTACAACAATCACATATCAATATATTTACTGCATATCATTATGCATTATTATAGCAATTATTGTAATTACCATTAGCATGATTCTAGGATCATGGTTTCATATCTCTACGTGTATTTAAGCATACCTGATCTATATCATTTATTAACCTTAAGTTGTCTGTCATTTTTAGAATATCATTTATTAAGATTTACCCTCCTTCTAGAAATTTGTTGTATAAACTTAGGTTTTTGATAGATTAGTCCTCTGGATATTCTCTTTTACGATTATAGTTGTACAAACTATTAATTGTATATTGAACTATCAATTGATTAAAATTCAATTTGAGCATTGTTTAAAAATTGAATTGTAAATTGTTGTATTACTTGTCCAATATATGCGTCACTTTGTAAAACACTGATTTTCAAGAAAAACAATTTGAAAATAATTTTAGAGGAAAAATTTATTCAACCCACTTCTAGACCATCCAACCCTCATATTTCAACCAAAAATTACTTGCACTTAAATGCATTTCTTAATCACAATAAAATTAATTAGTTTTGCTTATAAATTTGATTGTGACAATATTAATTAAACAAACTAAACATAATACAAGATGTAAAAAGACTGGTTAAAAAATTAGAAATACAATAAAAATTATACATCACAAATATTTCAAAAAGACACCAACATTATTCACTCAAACTGCCTACGTGATAAAAAATCAATTGCCTAAGGATTCACACACCAAAAAATATAATAGGTGGAACAAAGACAATGGCATATAATGTTAGAATTTTATTTTTGGATCATACATATAATAAATTAATGTGTTAGAACAATTATTTAAAATAGTCAAATTAAAATGATCCACTTAATATAAGGTTTATGACTATGGATATAATTGTCATGAAAAATATTATGTAATACCAAAAGTCATATTTCTATATTTTTGATGGATAAAATTGAAATAATAAAACTTGAATAATCATGACCCTTCATTAAAGGGCATGAGATTCTAAACTTGAACAAACACGACTCTTCATGAAAGGGTATGAGATTCTTATAATTAAGGGGTTATGGTCCCCAATTGTAAACACTAGAAAATATTACAAAATATTTATTCTCTTTATCCCATTGAAAAAGGAACTAAGGAATTAAAAAATTTATAATTGGAAGGTCATTGCTCTATCAAGATCATCATCTTCTCATTGAAATTACATGCATCCTAAAGGTACGCTTCGGCATTCTATTTCATCTTGAATTGAGTATGAATTAATGTATGTTAATTAATAGAATTCAAACATCTAGTATTATATAATTTAAAAAGATAATCAATATATCTGCTAAGTGTATGCAAATCACAAACAAACAAGAACGAGATAAAACGAGAGAATCAACCCACATAAATTATTTATTCAGCTCTATTTAAAATGATCTATTGTATGGAGAGATCATCTTTATGTTACCAATCAAATACAATCCACAAAACATTACTATTTAGTATTGAAACATATAATGTGTGATAAAGTTGTCAAAATGGGCTACTCGGCCTTAAATAGATCGACCCTGGTGGTTTCGGGCTTTTAGGGCTGGGCCAAAAAAGCACATTTCTAATATGGATTCAGAAATTACTACCCGAGCCTGAACTTAGATGGGTTTCGGGCTACCCAATCCTAAACGTTTTTTTTAAATATAAAATAAAAATAAAAATGTCATAATATTTATTTTAAATAAAATTAAAAGTTATATTATTTTAAACATAATATATTTTTAAGAACTATATCATCTTTTATAAATACTATAATGTATTTTAAATACAATACATGTCTAAATTGTATAAAATAATACTTGTATCTTTAATATAAGAGAAACTAATAGAATGCGAGAAAAGAGTGTTGATTACATTAATGTATAATATTTAAAAGAGAAAGATTGAATATAATAGAGGTAAAATTTAGTGGGATAAGAAAAATTAATGTGTTATTTTGGAGTAAGACAATATAAATATTAATATAATTTTTAAAAATTTATAGCATGTGAGCCTAATGGGCTACCCACGACCTATATGGGCTAGCTCTAATGGATAGCGGACTTTTTAGGGTTGGGTTAAAAAAACTTTGAAAAAAATGGACTCTAATTTTAAGAAAATTTTACTTCATACCCCTATCATTATCCCTCTACCCCTACATTTTTTAAAATGTTCTAATTCTACCATTTTTATTCATCAAATAATTTAATTATTTAATACTTATTATTTTTTGTATGTATTTTTTCTTCGCCAAATAACTTGTAATCAAGTTCTCTGGTATGTATTTTTTTCTCACCAAATAACTTACAATCAAATTTTTCAGTATCTATCTTTTCTTCACCAAATAACTTGCAATCAAGTTTTCCGATATGTAATTTAATCGGTGAAGAAAAATTACACACCAAAAAACTTGATTGCAAGTTATTTGGTGAAGAAAAAAATACATACCAAAACACTTGATTGAGAGTTATTTGGTGAAGAAAAAATAAATACCGGAAAACTTGATTGCAAGTTATTTGGTGAAGAAAAAATATATACTAGAAAACTTAATTGTAAGTTATTTGGTGAACAAAAAATATATATCAGAAAACTTGATTATACGTAATTTGGTGAAGAAAAAATACATATTAAAAAATAATAAATACTACCTCCGTTTCTTTTTATAAGAGACAACTTATTTTTTAGATTTATTGAATAATCAATGTATTTGGTTAATTTATAGACTAGATACATTAATTATTCAATGAACCTAAAAAGTAAGTTGTCTCTTATAAAAAAAGAACAGATGCAGTATTAAATAATAAAATTATTTAATAAGTGAAAAGAGTAGAATTAAAATATTTTAAAAAATGTAGGGGTATAGGGATAATGGTAGGAGTATGAGGTAAAAAAAATATAAAGGTATGAGGTAAAATGATCTAATTTTAAAGCTTACACTCTATGATTTTTTAGGCATGATGGATCAGTTTATATGGGCTAATTTATTTTGACAACTCTAATGTGTGATATGTAAAAGATGACCACCTTAAAAAGATTTTAGCTACATTGGTTGAAGTATAATGAATGATAGATACTTATAAGATTAACATTCAAACGTTTAAATTAGTGTCAAGAGAAATAAAATTATATAAGTATGACTTAGTGTCAAGAGAAATGAAATTATATAAGTATGACTCAGAGTCATGCATGTATAAGACTCACAGTCAAAATTATCTCGAATGTAATTCAACCATGGATATGATGGTAATGGTGTGCTCTAGTGTGATGTACAAATTTCCATCCGTTCTAAAGTTAACATGTTTAGAGCCAAAATTTTAGTACTTTTTCAATATTAAATTACTTTTCTAACTTCCTCTTCGATAAATGCTTGAATTGAATTTTTTTAAAGAAAAGTTGAATACAATTACTACTAAATTATTTCATTAGTATAAAAAATTGAATACTACTAAGATGAAAATGAATATACATTGACAATCTAAATGTATATAAATATATTTATATTGTCAATTATGTTAGAACAAATTTCAATATTCAGAGAGTGTTCATAGAGATTCTTACATATCACTCACTAAAATAATCTTCATATGAATGATAAGAATTAAACTCACGATCTCTTAGTATATGAGTCAACTCTTTATCAATCGAGTCGAGCTATTTTATCTTTAATTTATTTGTTATTATTGTAAATAATAAGATACATATTTACATCTTTCAATACTGTCTTGTCGTTTCTTCGTACATGTAAGAGATAGTTAAACCTTACTATAATATACATAAACTACTCGGTTGTAGCTGCGAATGGTCAAATTAAGATTCATTGGAAAGCTTGTCTATTCTTTCCTATATGTTTTTGATCAATACATATCAAATATATAATTAATAATCCATAGCTTGTTTATTTGATCGAATACAACGTTAACTTGTGCTAGCAACAAGAACAAGAAGGAGAAGAAGGAGTAATGACGATGATGGAGTGGTGGTTGGGTTCAGGGCAGAGCAACAAACACGCAGTTAAGGTGACTCAATTAAAGCTTCAACTAGGACTTTTTGGAGCCAACGTGTCCACTACTGTGAACGACAAATTAGCCATTGAAATAACATGGGTTAAGAAAGGAAATAATCAAAATTCTTCTCCTTCTTGTTCGATAATTCCCTTTCAATTTCATCATCGTACCTTAAAACGACCATGTACTCATACCACACCCTGTCGTAGATTCATCACTGCCGGAAAAACTCCTTCTCTCGTTTGGGATGATCGCGACCTCTGCGCTTTCGACCTCAGACTCAAAGATGTCTACCACGTGGCATTTCATGTTTTATATGTAAGACATTAACATCTTTTTCGGTATCTAATTTCTTTTTTTTTGTTGTTTTGTTTATTTAGTTAATGTGCTTCTATGTATCTTGTTGATTATTCAGGGAGAGGGTGAATTAAAAGATAGAAGGACGGTGGTCGGAAAAGTTTCTATGACACTTGGCATGGAGGAGATGAAGATCGAATCCAATATTGAAAGGAAGCTTCCAATACGGTTGAAAGTCAATGGTTTAATCTTCGAAGCTACCCTTTCGGTATGTTTCATTTTTCTCTGTTTTCTTTATTATTACTGATACCATGATTAAATAATTAACTAATTTTTTTACAGGTTTGTCTAAGGTTATGTGACTCAGCAAGAACAACCTTTGAAAACACGGCAAAGACAGATAAGAAACACGGAATTATAGAAAAAGTGAAACATTTAACATGCATGACAAAGAAAACCAATGACACCAACTTTGATTCTTATGAATCAGACGATTCGCCCGTGTTTGACTCGGACGACTCGTCGAACGAGTCCACAACAAGCGGTGGCAGTTCAACTAGCAACAGCCCCAAAGAGCCAAGAATCACGTTTCTAACCTCAGAGAAAAACACAGGCAATGCGAGTAAATGGGAAATCAATTATATTTTAAGCAGAGATAGCCAAACAAAGCTTAAAGCAAACGTGTTTTTCGCTTCCTTTGATCAACGAAGTGAAAAAGCCTACGGTGAAAGTGCATGCACAGTTTTAGTTGCTTTAATAGCTCACTGGCTTCACTCCAATCAAGGTATACCAACGAGAACACAATTTGACAACCTCATCACACAAGGTTCATATGAATGGAGAAAACTATGCAAAAGTGATTATTACTCTAAGCTCTTTCCAGATAAACATTTTGATTTAGAAACAGTCATTGATGCGAATTTGAGGCCTATAACTGTTCTTCCTCAGAAATCATACACAGGTTTCTTCTCTCCCGAGAAATTTCACTGCTTAGAAGGAGCTATGTCATTTGATGAGATTTGGAAAGAGATAGAGAATAACAAGATGGATGATTTTGAGGCAAGAATTTACATAGTTAGTTGGAATGATCATTTCTTTATTTTGAAGGTAGAGATTGATGCTTACTATATCATTGATTCTTTGGGTGAGAGACTATTTGAAGGGTGTCGAAGAGCATTTGTGTTGAAGTTTGATGATTCAAGTGTTATGTACGGGAAAAAAGATGAAGTTGGTGGTGCGAAGAGTAATAATTCAAGAGGTGAGGAAAGTTTTGAGGTAGTTTGTCGCGGAAAAGAGTGTTGTAAAGAGTTTATCAAACGGTTTCTTGCTGCGATATTAGTTAGGCAGTTAGAGAAAGAAGAGAAGAAATGGATTGTTTCGAATCCTAATCTTCATCGGCAATTACAGATTGATTTTCATTTTAGTTTGTGATTGCAGTTAGGAAAGACGCAATCACGCGTTTAAAGAATTTTGCCTGTTAGACAAAAATCAAATAATTTGTATTTTGATTAACTAGTTTGTGTAAGTTCTTGGTGCAATCTTTATATGATGAACATAGTAAATCCTAGTAAGGTCATTTCATGAGACAATGTCAATGTCATAACTATGGGGAAGGGGATAGCCAATATTGATAGATAATGTGTAATACATGCATAAAGAGAGTAACTTCTAATTACTTTTTTCATCAAAAGTTCCACATCAGAAAACATTCAGTCATGCATATTCATTCAGTAAAGGAATTAACAAGAATCATCGTATGCAATAATTTTGATGTAATTTTCTTTGATTTCATCTAAGTTTTTAAGTATATATTTGTGAAAAGAAGGGAATTTCTTATGGCACCTTATAGGGGGTGGAAAAATACCTTTTGAAAAATCGAAATTGTCCCTTAAATTTCAGAGATTCATGTTCAGACCCACTATGCATCAATGTTATAGCGCATTAAATGAGTGACACCCTAGATGAATACTATTAAAAAATTTAGAGATACATCTCCGAATATTTTCAACAATATTGATAGTTGATCAGTCCAGTGGATATTCCGGAGATGCATATTCAAAAGTTTGGGTGGAACTTAAAATTTTTTTGTCACTTTTATATGTCAGATATTTCTGGAATAATTTGATAAAACATAGAGTTGGGTGATCACACAACCATACTTGTTTTCTACTTAAAACCCTCACCATAAACCCTTTCGTTCTCAATCTACATTTTCACTCCAAATCTTCAATCTTATGTTTCATCGTTGTTGCGGTGAGAATCGTGATGTCAAGCTATTGATTAACTTGAATCTTAATTCTTTAAATTCACAACCGTACTTTAATTTATCCAAAGGAAAGATTAAAGAAAGAAAGACCTTTTGCGCGATGTAACAACAACGCTAAGAGATTCGGGGATCGGGGGTTGGTTATGCTTAGGGTAGGTATTTCACATCCTAAACATTTGTAGTACTCTACATAAACCTTTTGTATGTTTGTATCCTATACTACTTGCCATGGTTTGGGATCAAGGGTAAGGGTTTAAGGTAAAGACCTAGGGTTGATGTTTCTAAGTTTGCTCGCAAAGATATCGCATCTTTTGCCTACGTATCCTAACTAGGATAGAATCAGAGCAATCGTAGTTCACCTCACTAGGGTGGATGAACACTTGACTATGATCAAGGTTCAAAGGGGAACAAACATAACAATGTTTGTATAGAGTTTAACAAAACTCTCTATTCTAAGTTGTACCCTCAAGGGGAGTTGACTTTGATAAAAGCCAGGAGGGGAAGTAAGTAATCATGACAATGATCCTTACATAGAGTTGACAAACTCTAACCTAGGGTTCTAGTTGAAGAACACTCCTAGTAATGATGGGTTTTTTAGACTTAAGCAAAGTCTAATGGCTAGTAGGTTCTTAACAAAGATAGGGTTTAAGGTGACTTAACAAAGTCACAGGGAGGGTAAAGAGTCAATTATGACCCTGGGGTCAATGGATAAACTTTCCTTTGGAACAGGAGAAAGATGAGGCAACTGGTTGAGAACTAATAAGTTTCATCACTTGGGGAAGACTTAACAAAGTTAAAGCACACATAAGCATCCATTCAAACATGATGAAGACATAAAAGTCATGGTAACAACCAAGAAAGATTAGGTCAAGCATGTAACAACATGAAGCAAGCATATCAATGAAAGAATCATACCAAATGGTTACAACCAAATATAGTCAAAGATGTTACAACATCTAAAAGGGGGGTGGTGATAAAGGTTCTTACAAGATCTAACATTTCAAGTATCCAGAATGATTCAAGACATTACTTATCATGGTAAAGTTCAAAGATTATGAAGGTAACAACCAACAAAAGCAAACATGAAACAATGTGTGACAACAACAAGTTCATTTATAACATTCAAATAAGATTGATGCAAACAAGTTACAACTTGAAGCAATCATGATATAAGGATCAAATAAGATCAAATGTAACAACATAAGACCATCCACACATGTATTGATAACAATCAAACAAACAAAAACAAAAGCAATGTTACAACAATTCAAGCATGTGTTCAATGATCTCAAGGGGGAAAGTAAGCAAGTTACATGATAACAACCAAGTCAACAATCAAACCCTAACATGTTATGGTTCTAAAAAGACACACAAACAAGTAGAATGAGGTATGAAGAATATATTCAAGAGGTTACAACATCAAGAATTATGGTATAAATCACAGATGAAGTTCAACAGGCCATTTTCACATGTATGCATTCATAAAAGCAAACATGAACATAGCAAGACAATGAATCAAACAATTTTGAACATTTAAACATGTTAAAAAACATATATGAATCATAAAAGACAAATCTCACAAGAAAAATCAAGTTACATGATGAAAAAGTTCAAGAACACCATGAAAAAACCTAAAAAACACATGTTATTCAAGTTCACCAAAGTATTTCTAGGATAACAATCCTTTATTTATTTCTTCACTCAATGAAAATATACATGTTAAGGAGTAGTTTTCAAAAATAATGGCATCAATAGCATAAAACATAAGCAAGTTATGACCATGGGAAGTTGGTGCACCAAGAAGGCAAAACTAGGTCAATGCAAGGTAAGGCAACTTAAGGCCATTTGCATGAAGAAGTGGAACTCAATCAAATCTTAACCAAATGAGGTGAAACAAAAGTGAAAATTGTGTATTTTTGAACAAATAATTTAATGGTACAATTTTTTTTTCCATACCATGAACCCACAAGAAAACCCGATAGCATCATTGATAGGGCAAGTTTTGTGACAACTAAATGCAAGAACATGTGAACAGTGTTGTGTAGTGGTGGATTTATAAAACAAGTGTACAAATATCACATATAAATCATATATAGAGGTTGGCAAAATAGAAATCAAGAAATGCACAAGTGGTTTGACATATTGGAATCAAAATGCAAAAAGTGACTAGGTTGGGCCTAGTTTGTGACCTGAATTTTGGCAGTCTTAAAAACACATATTTTGCTGCAAGAAATGGTTCATACATGACACATAACATACATAAAACATGCCTAAGCAATGTTCAATACAAAATCATGGCTAGAACTCAAGATGGCATGAGAAATACAAGTTTTAGGCTTACCTCTTGTAGCCTTGTGATGCAAACTTGGGAAATAAGAAAACCAGAGATCCTACAAGCTCTTTGATGGTCTACAAATGCTCCAAGGATGATGTGAAGATGCTCAAATAAACCTCCAAGCAAACTAGTGGACAGAATGCCCTGATAGTGCAGAAAACACCAAAAAAACCCAAAGATTTTCAAAGCAAACTTGCTCAAATCTTGTTACAAAAGTGTGACTCACTTATGGACTGTTTGTATATGTCAAATGTTACAGCCTTGCTAAAAATCCAATCTCAATGAAAGAATTAAACACATAGATACAAGGCTTCATTTCATTGGAGAGCAAGTGAATAATTGAATTATTGAAGTGCAATATTCTCCAATTGAAATGTAGCTGGCGGATGGTTTTATAAAGGCTCTAAAGCTTGACAAATTTAAGTTTTTGAGAAAGAAACTTGGTTTTATGAATGTTCAACAGTTATGAATTAAGAGGGAGTGTTGAGTTTTAATCCATAACTGTCGTGTGTACAAGTTAGTTAGTAGTTTGTTACAAATTAGTTGTTAGTTAGTTACCTTGTGTATGGATGACTTGCTTAGCAAGCTATTTTGTAACACATATAAATAACACTTTGTAATGTGAAATAATAATCTATGAGAATCATCACTATTCTCCCTATTCTCCTCCTCCAAGATGTTTTCTAAGATGTCAAAACATTAGAGTGTGTGTGTGTGTGCGCGCGCGCGCGCGCGTGCTATTTCTTTCATCTTGCAATTACAATTTTGGTGTGCATTAGCTTTGTGTTCTAACAAATGTATATCAAAATAATCTATTTTTGGAGAAGGGAGATGAATAATTATTCCTCATTTTTATTTAAATTAAATTTGAATATGCATGCACAAGATTTTCTACAATATTTCTAGCATGAGTTAAGATATATACAATACTATTTATAAAAATTGTTGTTAGTTTACTTAATTTTTCATTCAATTTGTTTTAATTAAATATACACATTAAAATTTACAAGAAATTTGATAATTTTCATAAGTTTTAAATATATATATATATTTAACTAAAATTTACAGATAAACATTTTGATTTGGATAGAATAATAGATGCCAATTTGAGACCTCTAATTGTTCTGTCTCAAAAATCATACACATGTTTTTTTCTCTCCAGAGAAGTTTCATTGCTTAGAAGGGGCTATGTCATTTGATGAAATTTGGATATAAACATGGACAAAATGGATGATTTTGAGGGCAGAATTTACATGGTTATTTGGAATGATCATTTCTTTATTTTGAAGTTAGAGATTGATGCTTACTATATCATTCATTCTTTGGGTGGGAGATTTTTTAGAAAGGTGTCAAAGAGAATTTGTATTGAAGTTTGATGATTCAATAATTTTATAGAAAGGTGTCAAAGAGAATTTGTATTGAAGTTTGATGATTCAAGTGTTAAGTATGGAAAATAAGATGAAGTTGGTGGTGTGAAGAGTTATAATTCAAGAGGCGGGGAATGTTTTGTGGTAGTTTGTCGTGGAAAAAGAGTATTGTAAAGAGTTTATCAAACAGTTTCTTGCTGGAATATCAGTGACATTTAGAGAAAGAATAGTAAAAATAGATTGTTTCGAATCCTAACTTTCATCGTGTTAGCCTTTAACTTTTATTTGGAAAAGAGTTATTTGAATGGCTGGAAAAATGTTAAGTGTTAGTATTGATTGACACAAATCAACATGAATGAATATATCGACCGAAACATTTCGACCAACATCTTGAACATGATTTTGAAGAATCTCAAGAGCAGATCTTAAACATGGTTTGAAAGAATCTCAAGAGCAGATCTTGAAACATGGTTTGAAGGAGTCTCAAAAAGATATCTAATTAATCTCTCGACATCGTGTCGAAGTTGAAGCATTCGACGAACTTCAAAGACTTAGAAGGTTTTTGAAACCAAAAACTTGAGAGGGATCTTAGCACTTTCACCAACCACCTTCGATGAACATGCACTTATTAGTCGCTAAGAGCAGTTACGAACGTGGAATAATGGTTTTCACCAATTTGCAAGTTCCGACAACGTAGTAGTGCTTCAGAAGACTAAGTTACATGTTCTTAAATACGTGTCTATTTTCTAGGAATAAGCTATCGGAGACAATTATTTTTAGTTTAATATATATAGCAGATTCATACGTTGTAATCAAGGTTGCAAAATTCATATACTTTCTCTATAGAACTGGAGTACCCGAGTCAATGTGCGAAACAGTTTGTGAGTAACATGTGAGTCTGTGTCCCTTTTCTTTATGTGTCTTTATTGTTTCCTTAATTGAAACATTTTACAATTCTTTTCATTTTCCATGCTTGTCATTTACTATTTTTTGTTTAATCCCATCTATTATAGTTCTCATTTATTTTAATTCAAGTTTTTCCAGCATTAAAGTTTGTCTTTACTTTGTCTGGATACAAACATTCACAGTCAGTTCACACACATACTTTCTTGCACACGTGTTTTGCACAAATTACTTATGAGATTTTTCGAGTTAATCTCACATACTATTTAAACTTGTGATTATTCGCTAAAAACACATGTGAACAAATTGTGCAAATAATATATCTTATTTCAATTTTTTCATGAATAACTTTCAATGTTCGAATTCATATGTGTCTGAGAAGTGGTAGAATTTTAGCATAAATGCTTAGTCTAAAAAATACTTCCCGTTCTCGAAATAATGCTCTAGACTCAGAACCACCAGTCACTTTGACGTTTGGTACTACAGGGACATCAAACCCTCTCAAAGTTACATGCACAATCTTAACTCCAGTAGCAACTTCAACGTCAATACCATGAGTAGTAGTTTCTATACTGCTAGTAACAAACATCCTAACTACACCTAGGCCTACTTTGATTGTTGTAAGGGACATTATGCCCCCCTTATGCCCAAGTTTTACCCTACACTTATTGACTAGGGATTACCCATATTACATGCCAACTGCACTAATGGCAGAGTTACAAAGTCAGGCTTCGACGTTTGCAGACAATGCAACAACAATATCGTCACCCTTGAATCCATGTTTGGCGTTTGGATTTGCCATAAGCAACCCTGGTCGGGTGACATAACCACAATGAAGAGTTGGATATCTTCCTCTAGGAATACTAGACTTAACTATAAATTCTCTTATGTCCATGAGGCAACAGATGGACGAGAGTAACCATAAAATGGTGATCATGTTAACATAATAGCTAGGTATTATGTTTCATTTGATGATTCAGAACACAACCCAAAGTTACCATAAGTTAGCCCACCAGATGGGTAGAGTTCCTAATTCTTTTGGGTTGTGTAGTTACCTAATAATGAAATGCTTGTCGAATAACCTCCGCCGAGGGTAGTTGAAGGAAACCAAACCCACAATGGCCCAGAAATAGATATCCTGCAAAGAGATCAGAATGTCGACCAAGTACATAGGAATATCCAACAAAATAAATTTGGGGGGCAAAAAAAATATAACTAACGTGGTCGAACAAAGTTTGGCCAAAAATGGCCTTAATATTGGCCTTCATAGGCTTAATTACGTATCTCCTCGGTCAGAATACGTCTGGCAGACCGAACTTCCTAGGGGATGTAAGGTCCCCAAATTCATTACGTTTGTCGATGACACCAATGAGTCCACAATTGAACATTGTAATACCCCAAAATTTGCCCTACCTTTTTTTAATTTATTTGGCTTAAAGTTCCAAACAATCTGCATGCATGGTCATCAATTCATTTCAATTAGGTCATGCATTTAACATACCATTCACCACATTTTGCATAGCACAATCATTAGGTCAAGATTTAGTAATAATGGATGCAATCAATTTAAACAGATTTTTGAGACAAATATTATTTGGTGATTATTCGGGTTTATTTTCCATTTTGCTTATGGTGCGGATCATCTCTCTATTTGAGATTCATGGTTAGTTAGGAGATTCGACTGATTATCACTCAATTCAGAAGTTTGTTTGGATTCAAAGAAAAGAGCAAAGTTGGAAATTCAAAGAATGCTTCATTGAGTCATGGAAATTCATGGTACAATGCTTATGACTTGAGATACAAGTTGAAAGAATGGATTACAAGGAAAGATGATAAAAAATTACATCAATTTGATAAAATTGACTTTTTGATCAATCGATTGACTTTTTGATCAACTGTTGACTTTTAATCAACTTTTGAACATTTACTCAATTTTGACTCCCAAATTTTACTAAACCTATCATATAAGTATGTGATCAAGAGAATTATAATTCTCCATCAAATAAAAACTAACCGACTACTTTTTATTATTGAGTTTGATATTAAAATTTTATTTAAAAATATTATTTATCTTGATTTATTTAATAGCCGTTTTAAGCCTTGTTTTCTCATTTTTTATATGTCTAAGCTGCGAAATCCTACTTTTTCTGTTTGCCCAAAATCAAAGACGAAGGAGTGAATACTGTGAGTAGCATCCTCAATCAATCGTCATTCATTTTACAATTTTTTTGCCGTTGATTTTGGGGTATTCTAGAATCATGGGTGAACACATTTTCCTCAATGAATCTTAACGTTTGATTTGAAGTTTGTGTCTGTGTGAAATGAAAATGGAAAACAGAAAGAAACTCAGCACGTTGTGGGATTCATGTTCTTAGTATTAGTAGTAGTTATTTTCAAAATGGTTTTAGAAGCTTCTTTATGCTTTTAGTAGAATTCTATTTGAAATAGTAGGTTTCTATTTGAATGGGCTTATTTGAGCTCTCTAGATTAACTTATGAAAATTGTTTGGCTTTATTTTACCTTTTTGTTATAGAAATAGTTTATATACAAACATGGCCTAATTTGAACTGTGTTGCCAATTTCCATTTTCATAATGAATTTAATAAAAGTGAGTGGGTCTTAATAGCCATGTTTTATACTATTTTCTCTCTAATTGGAGTTATCCTGTAAGATTATCACTTTCCTTTGTTGCCTAAACATTCATGTCTGTTTCGTTTTTATTGAGTTGTTTGTGCAGAAAATTCTGCATCACAAATTCGTTGTATTTCTTGTGATGAAACCTAGTATTTTGGTTGCTTTTTATTGTGCAGAAACATTCTACTTTTGTTACACCAAAATGTCATCAAATGTGGGTGGTGATGATGTGATCAGCAATTTAGCTGACCCTGTCATCTGCCATATTCTTTCTTTTCTCTTAATCAAACAGGCCGCTGCCAGTAGCATCCTTTCAAAGAGGTGGATACATCTATGGCGCTCTGTTCCTGTTATCAACTTCAAGGGCGAAGAGTCAATTGAATTGGGTGACGAAGAAGTCTTTAATGATGTTGTGTATTCTATTTTACTCTCCCGAGGTTCTAATTCCATCGAGAGTTTCAGCCTCAAGATTCATTATGGCAATCATGATCTTGGAAATCTCGGCTTTCCTAGTGTCCTCTTATGGATCAATTATGTTGTACAACACAATGTTGAGTCCATTGATATACATGTGGACATAGAGAATAATTTTTTCCCAAATTGCCTATACAACACAATGTTGAGTCCATTGATATACATGTGGACATAGAGAATAATTTTTTCCCAAATTGCCTATTAGCATTCTTAGTTGCAAGACTCTTGTTGTTCTCAAACTTCAACATTTCGATATGGAGGGTTTATCTTCTGTTAGACTGCCCTCCCTCAAAATCCTTCGCTTGAAATTGTGTACATTGGCAGAGATTTAGTGTTGTTTCTGTCCGGATGTTCAATTCTTGAAGATTTATATACATTTCTTGATGATGCTTCTAAGGACTCACTTACGTATCAAGACTGAAAGATTAAGCTTAAGCGAGTTGACCAGAGCACAAATGCCCAATACTTTCTGGCATTTTCCGTTGAAAGCACTTCATAATGTGGAGGAACTGTACATATAAATAAATAAGGTATGGAATTTATTGTTGCCATGTGAATACATTGATAGAATAAAGAGAAAAATGTGATTGATTTGTATTTTTGTTTTTAACTTTATTTTATTTAGAATTTTGACCTTATTTCTGTGATAGAATAAAGAGAAAAATGTGATTGATTTGTATTTTTGTTTTTAACTTTATTTTATTTAGAATTTTGACCTTATTTCTGTGATAGAATAAAGAGAAAAATGTGATTGATTTGTATTTTTGTTTTTAACTTTATTTTATTTAGAATTTTGACCTTATTTCTGACGGTTTATGTATATCTTCTTCAAGAACACTCTTTTTCCACTAAAAATATCTGGAACACAAACTCTATAACGGCATCTCATGATACCATTTTCATTAATTCGAAAATTAGCATTTCGATCTTGATTTATCAAATTCAACTGATCTACAACTCAAATCAGATTTCTGACCTTCTCAAATCTCATCAAGAATACCACTGGTAAGTTTCAACATACCAAGCTTAACTCCATAAGAAGTCCTTTCACAAACCAAACTCATGTCACGAAATTGCTCAATCAGTTCTGACTCTTTTACCATCATCATCGGTATATGCGAAGATTTCCTACTCAATGCAGCAGATACCACGTTTGCTTTATCCGAATGGTAATTCAAACCAAAACCATAATCCTTCAGAAGTTCCAATCATCTCTCCTACCTTGCATTCAATTCTTTCTGATCAAAGAAATACTTCAAACTCTTATGATCACTAAACTTCTCAAATCTCGAACCAAACAAATAATGTCTCCAAAGCTTCGACACAAACACAACAATAACCAACTCTAAATCATGCGTCAAATAATTCCTCTTATGCACTTTAAGTTGTCTTGAAGCATAAGCTAAAACTTGTTGATGTTACATTAACACACCTCCCCATCCCAACAACGAAGCATCACAATATACAACAAATGGTTCTGTCGGATTTGACAAAATCAAAACATGAGATGCTGTCAGCCTTCTCAAAAGCTCTTGAAACTTTCTTCACACTTTGCATCCAAACAAAATTTCCGTATATAAAATAGCGTCATTTTCGTATTCAACATCATCATAATCATCAAGAAAACACAATACACCATAATATCATAAATTACACCAAATTGTCACATAAATGCAAATGCAACAAGACTCATGCATGTGGTGTCAATCAACAAAATTCGATGGACACTGGGCCATCAACCCTCCATAGATCCACCACAGTAGAATCGATTCTACACGAGAACCGAAGCACAACAAAATACCTCACATTCGCACAATGGGACTGAAGCCACAAGAATCAAGATCCTAGACCGAAGTCCGGAATGCATATGAATGCATGATGCACACGTCAATATCATGCTCATAATAATCTCATTAGGTGCATCATCATTCATCAAAATAATCATAAGAATCACGTCATCATTGAATCATTAAAACCTCATGGAATCAACGTCACAAATCATCACTGTTCCTCATGGGGATTTATCGTGCAATCATGTATTAATCTCATAAGAATCACAATTATACTCATGGGTACTCATCATACCGTCATGTATTAATTACATAGGAATTATAGCTATACTCGTATTAATTCATCATACATTCATTTAATCACATAGGAATCACAGTTATACTCATGGTAACTCATCAGGAAAATCAAAGCATCAAAACATCAAGACATTACTGAACCAGAACCTAATCCGCAAAACTCTGCTACATTCGCTGGCAAGTTCGTCGTGCGAGTCTAGGGCGAATGTTCGCCGTGTGAACGCGATTACAATAAATCGCTGTTACGCACCAGTAGCAAAACCAGCTCAAAGGTCCCTACTATTTCCTTCCCCAGTGCCCCCAAAACATCCCTAAATCATTCCTACGGTATTACGGCGATAAAGGCACAAAAGTCTACGACTTATTAGGCCAATCTCGTATCCTATTTACGCCTCTAATTCTTATAATTTCTTACAAATACCCCACAGTCATTAAAGTTCTCACAATCACTTACCCTTACGGTTAAACAACTTCAACAACAGATTTGACCATGAAAACCTAATTTCTCTTACTCCCAAATCAGTCTCAAACCTATTAGAACATCAGTTTCAATCCCTCAAACTCATTGAACCCATCACTAGAAAGGCAACAACAATTTAATGCTCAAAATTTCCTAAACCTTTAAGTTTAAATACATTGAATCATATATTGAAAACAATGAAGGTAATATACTCTTCATACCTTAATTACCGACTCTAAGCCTTTCTCCTTGATTCTTGGAAACCTCGCGAAACTTTTGCCTCAATCTTTTTCCTCAGATCTCTGGCCTCTATTTCTTTCATTTTCACGGTCTAACAAGAATGAATCCTAATTCCCTCAAAATTCCTTTTTGTTAAACCTAACTTTGAGCCATAAAATAGGCTCTCCAATTTCACCCTCACTGACTCCTCTTCAAATGTCCATTTTTCCCTTAATTACTTATATTTATTTAAATTAATAATAATACCAATATATTCATATTATACACTATTATTTAAATAAATAACCCAAAATCCATAATTCTCAATACTTCATACCAACCACCGCAAATCACCAAAAATACGAATATTCCTATTTAAATAAATTAAATAAATATTCCAATAAATTTGGAGTGTTACAGGTTACACCCAGTTGAAAGCGTCACTGCCACTAAAAGATCACCATGTAACCGGTTACACCCAATTAGAAACGTCACTGCCACTTATGTAACCGGTTACACCCGGTTGAAATCGTCACTGCCACTAAAAGATCACCATGTAACCGATTACCATAAACAGGATAATTGATTACACTAACAGAAATAGCAAAAAATACAACTTTTCAACAAATTATAAGTAAAATAATATTTATAAATAACAAATGTAATAAAATTTGCTTATATTAGAAAAAAAATTGTAATTTTTTTAAAAATTGAAAAAAATGGATTAGAAATTAAAATGAATTATATATTTTAAAATACTTTTTATTCATTCATGATAGAATTAGAAGGATTGAATTTGATGTCAAAATTTTATTTAAAAATATCTTTTATCTAGATTTATTACTTTAATATTAGTTGTAATATATATATATATATATATATATATATATATATATATATATATATATATATATATATATATATATATATATATATATATATATATATATATATATATATATATATATATATATATATATATATATATATATATATATATATATATATATATATATATATATATATATATATATATATACGGAATCTTTATTTTAATATCTTTCAATGCATTATGGAATTGTTATATATATTATTTTAATTAATAAATAAATTATTAATTTTTTATTATTAACTTTTATATTTAATTAATTAATCAAAATTGTATATGTAACACTTTGAACCTAACCTTTTAGTTTCATGTTTTTGATCCATTTGTTTAACACACAATTGATTTGTTGTGTTTGTGTAAGATATATAAACACTAACAACATTTGTAATGAAAACAATGTGGGACTTTAGTGGGTTGGTGACTTTATAAGCTAAATAATGGAAACTATCACTTCCTGCTTCTTTTTTTACAGCTCTTCTAACAATTGCTTCAGCAGATGGGCATGTTTTCTTATAGAAACAAAACTCCAAAGGTGAAGATGATGCTGACATTGATCATGAGAGAATGAATATAAGCAAGGTAAAGATCAATAATGCATGGGTTCTAGCCATTGTTATCTCTGAATATCAATATTGATGTAGTGTGTATTTTTGTTTCTACAAATCTGCTAATTAATTAGTGCCAGTGTAGAGATGAAGGAAGGGATATATGTTGTTGAATGGAAATTAATGTTGAGATGGAGAACATATATGCCTCTTGATGAGTATATATATAGGGGGATGAGATGAGAGTAGGTCTTACTTTGGAACAAAAACGTGTTTGACTGTAGCCTTAAATATTTTATAAAAAAAGTTGAAGCAATCTACTTTTGAATACTTCTTATGGTTTTGGAGGCTTTATATGCTCAATTATATGGCCTGGCCGTAGTGTATATATCATATATCTATTGAATATTATGGGAAAGCGCGGTGATCATTAATTTTGCATGGATTCTAACCATTGTTATTCTGTGATATATATGCTTAAATAATGTAGTATGTAATGTATTTTTGTTTTCAGTAATAATGATGTGGTAATTAAGTAGTGTGAGTGTGAGTAGAGAGATGAAGGAAGAGATATATGTTGTTGGATGGTGATTAATGTTGAGATGGATAACATATATGACTCATCATGAGTGTATATATATATATATATATATATATATATATATATATATATATATATATATATATATATATATATATATATATATATATATATATATATATATATATATATATGAAGGGGAGAGGAGGTCTTACTTTGGAAACAAAAACGTGTGTTTAGCTATAACCTTCAATACATTTGACAGAAGTTGAACCAATCCACTTTTGAAAACTTCTTCTGATTTTGAAGGCTATGTTAAATTAGTTGAAAAAATATAAAGAAACAACACAAATTCTCCAATATGATAAATGAACTCTAGCTGAAAACTATTATAGAGAGGATGTATTTTGTACAATATTATTGGAGAAAAAAAG